TAACCTCTTTGTTTGCTCCTGTGTGCTCTGATCAGATGTGCCGCTCTCCCTGCGCTGTAGCTTCAGTGCTGTCCTCTGAAATCTTACTATAAAAGAACAAATCAATCCTTTCTTTTAAGGAATTGCAAAGGATAGAACAATACTGTACTGTCTAGAAAATGGGTCTGCCTTTAACTATTAGTGGAAAGGTATCGTTTTTCTGCTCTAGCTGTGTCCTGGATTCGGTTTTGCTTCAGGTTGTTTTGTGTCTTTGGAGTTTATTTGCAGATTTTGGCTCTGTACCTTTGCTTGAAGGCTTACTCACAGGTGGCAAGGAAAAAATGTGTGTGCTGGCTACAGAGGGGCAAGGGATGAGCCTCCCAAAAGATGTGCATGTGTACACATGCATAAGGATGGACGTGAAAGGCATCTCAGAGATGCTTAGTCCTATGCAGAGTCAAGACCCGCTTTGTTAGTTGTTGTTAGATGCCATCGAATCAGTGCCAACTCATGGCTACCCAAAGTACAAAGAAGGAAACACTGCCTGGTCCTGTGCCAACCTCATGATTGGTATGTGTGAACCCACGGTTGCAGCCACTGTGTCATTCCACATTGCCCAGTCCTTTTCACTGGCATTCTGCTTTACCAAGCATGGTCTCCTAAAAACCTGTCCAAAAGGTATGTGAGACAGTCTCACCATTCTCACTTATAAAGAGCATTCTGTCTGTATTTTAGTTCAAACCAGACTTGGTTCTTTTGGCAGCCATGGTACTTTCAATAGTCTTTGCCAGTGCCCTAATTCAAGTGCATCAGTTCCTCTGCGACTTCCTTATTCATTGTCCACTTTTCACATGCTTATAAGCCAATGGACATCCCCATGGCTTGGGTCACGCTCACCTTAGTCCTCACAGTGAAATCTGGGCTCTAGGACATTTTAAAGAGGTCATATGCGGCAGATTTGCTCAGTGCGTTTTGTCATTTGATTTCTTGACTGCTGCTTCTGTGAGCGTTAATTGGGGATCCACGCAAAAAGAAATCCTTGACAACGTCAATCTCTTCTCTTCTTACCATGATGTTGTCTGTTGGCCTGATTGTGAAGGTTTGGGTCTTGCGCTGCAATCCATTCGGCAGCCTTTGATTTTCATCAGCAAGGGTTT